CTAACGTTCTGTGTGATTCTGTGATTCTTCTGGCCTACCTGTAATAGCAGGCTGTTCTGATGCTAATCGCTGTAGTGACTTGCTTTGCCAAGATATAAAATGCATCATCATATGCAAGGATATTTCCTTCATATGCTTGCTGAGCAAGCTCTGAAAGTGAGGAACAGAATTTCCCTAGTTCCTTGCTGCATTATTTTCCTGTCATGGGCCAAGTAAATGTTATCACTAACCAGAGGATGTAGGACAGGCTGTAGCATATAGACCCTTTCCTGTGTCTTTCTCAATAACAAGAATTACCTTTGAACAAGAGTGCTTTAGGAACCGTAGCTGTTGGTGGAGGAGCCTCATTTCTGGTAGCAAAAATTTGAGTGAGTGATGTGGCGATACAGAAGGTAGAGTGACATTAAAAAATTCTAGTGGGGAAGCTGTAAGTCAGATTCTGCTGTGCAGACATACCAGTGTGTGGAGATTAACCTTTTGAAGACTTGGGCTTGTAGAGATATGGTCCTTCATGTAGGAGGAATACTTGCTAATAATGGTTTCTTAGAAACATTATCTTGAAGTTTTTCCGTATCTGTTACTGAAAAAAAAAGCCCCTCGCACCCAAACCATACTCCCTCTCACCCTATACTGTTACCTACATTTTTTTTGGCAGTAATTTTGAATAGTTTTTTCTAGATCTAAACATACTGGACTGGAGCCTTGAAAATCTCATTGCTATTGCTGTAGGATCTGCTGCACACTTCTGGAATGGAGGAACTCTTCAAGCCATTGAAAGCATTGATTTGAATTCCAGTTCCAAATACATTTCTTCTCTGGCTTGGATAAAAGAAGGAACTTGCCTAGCAATTGGCACCAGTGATGGAGAAGTGCAAGTACTAGATAATTTACTTTTTTAGTCTTTCTCCATTTTTAGCTAAAATAGCCACAAGACAGTTTGATACTGATTTGTTTTTTAAGGAAACATATGAAGATGATTGGCTAAACTACAGAAGATTTCTGCTGGAAACAATATATAGCACTTCCCTGTATCATGCTGCACCTTACTGAATGACTCACTGACAACTTATGTTATCTATATGTAAGGGAGCCTCTGAAGCCACTAAGGAGCTGTTGACTGAATTAATGATTCAGTTGTCCATAGGCAATTACATTTTTTTCCACCAATAAAAGACACCCCTTCATTGAATTATTTTGTGCAGCATAGGCTTTTTTTTCTTGTATCTCACTTGCTAAGATCACTCTAGTGATCAATGCCTTGAGAACTTAAGCCAAAACTCTCCTTATGGATTCACACATGAGAATTTGACTTCGGTTTGATGATACATATACCTCTTAGCCTCCTGCTATAGGACAGGCTATTATCAAAATATTTTTGTGGGACTTCAGCTGAGATGCTAGATAATATGGGGACCTACCTGCTGCAGTCCTAAGTCAGCAATTTGAAAGTACTGAAGACCAGTGCTTTCAAGTATGGACTTCCCAATACTGACATGTAAATTATTAATTTAAAACTCAGAAATGTGCATTCCCTTCAATCCTGTCTGATTTCAGCATCCCTGATAAAGGTGCCAAAATTTGTAACTACTCATTCTTGTCTTGTGAAATAAATGAGCTTGAGATTGTCCATATGTCTAATAAGAACTGGGCAGTGGCTTACTTGCAAACAAATGAAGAGAAAAAAGTATTTTTTCTTTTTTTTCTTTTTTTTCTTTTTTTTCTTTTTTCTTTTTTCTTTTTTCTTTTTCTTTTTTCTTTTTTTTCTTTTTTTCTTTTTTTTCTTTTTTTTCTTTTTTTTCTTTTTAAATTTGCATTTCTTGTTTGTTTTGGATTGGCAGCTGTGGGACATTGAAACCAAAAAGAGGTTGAGAAATATGTTTGGTCATCTGTCTGTAGTTGGAGCTCTGAGCTGGAATAATTATATTCTGAGCAGGTGAGTATATCACCCAAAAAGGAGTCCTGCTGCTTTTACTTAGACAAATGTCCCATTCGTTTTAGTTGTTTTCATTGGCTTTGCTTAGAAGTAGTTTATCCTGTCACTGTACTTATTTGCCGTCTCAGAAATCACATGTTGATTTACTGTATGGCAGAAAAGCAGCCAAAGGGGATTTAGCCTGCCTCTTTAGTCTCTGTTTCTTACTCTCCTTCCAGAAAGCTGTCACCACTTCCAGAATTTCAATAGGATGTGAAGGTTGTGGGTCTGGTTGTGTGCAAAGTCTGAGCTTGAAATGTTGGTCTCTCCAGTGTGTCTGGACTCAAAAAATCAAAGTCTGCCTGGTGCCATAGAGAGGGCATGTAGTTTAGACGGCTCCTCCATTGATATCAAGACTGCATTTGTCTTTTCAAATGCACAGGGAAACAGCTTTTAGAGTTGCACGCCTCTCTACTTGTGTATCTACAAAGGCCAGCTCATTGTTATCCACATCCCAAGGACTGAAGTGTACTTCAACCAAGGCTGAATTTTACACTAGCTGGTGAATATTTTAAATTTAGGAATCGTTTAAATATGAGGATTCAGATGAGAAAGACCAAGTGCACTCTTCTGTGGTTTTTTCTTGCACAGGTCCAGAACACAAGCACTATAAAAATGACATTTCTTGTAATAAGTCAGTTTTGTGTGTGCAGTTTTAAAGCTTCCAAATCACTCAACGTGCATCTGAAAAAATCTTTGAGTCAGTATGGGAAAGTAATCATTTATTATTACCTTAAATTAATCTATTGCAGTAATGTCAGATATCTCTTTCTAAGATACCCAGAAAGATAGTATTAAACTTGATGGATTTTTCAATGTCATCATAAGATTTAGAAGTGTGAATTTCCAGCAGGAAGCTCATCTATTTTGTCATAGGTTTATTGTTGGGCATGAAGTCTCATCTGTCCTTGGCAAAAATAATCTTGCAAAATGATTTTTCGTGAAGAACAGGAAAGTTTACATTAAATGGTTTACATTAATGGAACAGGGTGCATATCAGTGGCCTACAATGCAATGTGTCTTCAGGGAAATAAAAGCCATGAGAGAGAACAGGTATTCTGCCTGACTTGCACCGAGCATCTACTTTGCTCCTTTCTTTCATAAGCCACCTCTACAATCAGGGTGTGCCTTAGATAGTTGGTTTGTGTTTCCTTTTACTGAAATACTGTTGTTTTGCAGATACATTTCAGTCTGATGTGGTTTGCTTCTGAAACCACTGAAGGTGTTGTCATCTGTGTGATGATGTAGCTTGTCTTCTTTAACATTAAACCCATGCTGTATTTTCTCATCTACAGTGGTTCACGACTAGGATCTATTCATCACCATGATGTTCGGGTTGCTCAGCATCATGTTGGGACTCTTTGCCAAAACAAACAAAGCATTTGCAGCCTGAAATGGTCACTAACTAGCCAGTTGCTGGCAAGTGGGTCTAGTGATGGTGTACTGAGTATCTGGCCTAGCGACCCTGGTGTGAAACTGCAGTCACAGCCACTGAAAACCATACCTCATTCCTCAGCAGTTAAGGTATATGGAGAAGGAATATCTGCTTTTCTATATTTGCTCTTGTAAAATCACATTGTTTATGAGGACAGACAGGAAATTTTTAAAATTATCTTGCTGATATCTATTAGTTTGTTCTCCCTGACTGTGATGCATTAATTTTGAGATCAGTTCTCCTCATTCCAAGTCACAAATAAGTTTGATAGGACTTTGATTAGGAAATTTTACTGGATTAGTAGGCCTTTGTAAATATGATGCCAAACAGAAATAAAGTTTACAGTAGTCTTCTCTCTCTGCTTTACACAGAAAAGTTTGGTGGTGTAATATGTACAAGTTAGCAAACAAGATCTTTCAATTTTTGGAGATTCAGAAAATTCTCTCTGCTGCAGTTATTTTAAAGATCAGGTTTCTTTTGCCCTCCTGACCATGTTTTCATGTCATTGCTAGTAGCAAATAATCTGAAGTAGGAAACTGGAAATGAGACAATTTAAGATTCTTCATCTTCATCAAGTCCTAGTCTGTGTGGGAGAGCGGACAGGTCTTAGCAATACGAGGCAGAGGAGTACAGCATTTATAAGCTGTTTGTCCTCTCAGGAGAGTCTGAAGCTGGGCTGAAGCACTGGGGTAAAAGGGTCAGAGGAATTTATTCAAACAGGTGGAATTGAATATTTAGAAGCTTTTCTTCAAGTAGAGTCTAGGCTTTAGGCATATCCTGGGAATAGCTCAGAAGAAAGCTGGTAAGCCCTGTAAGTCACGCTGCTTCTCTGATGGCTTGACTTAGGCAGTACAACGGTCCTGCTGGGTTCTTCTGGTACTGAGGTATGAGTCTGTGGCCTGTGAAGGGTAAGCAGAGAAGCTGGAGTTCTGTGAGTGTATGTGGGACAGTCTAGGCTGCGGTGAAGCAATGACCAAGGAAGCAGCGTTTGGAGTTTTGGGATCTTACATTGGGGTGTGTGTGTACATTCTGGGTGCTTGCTGCAGTTCGTTTTTCCAACTAGATTTTTAAGCAAAATCTATTCTTTTTTACAGCTAACTAGTCTGGTCTGGCATTTGTTTTCTTTTTTTTTCATTTTTTTAGGCTATGAACTGGTGTCCTTGGCAGTCCAAAGTCCTTGCTACAGGGGGTGGAATGAAAGATGGGATTTTGCGTGTCTGGGACGTAAATCATGAGAAAATCATTGAAAGTGGAGCTACAGATTCTCAGGTGAAATGATGAAATGTCTGCATACTTAGGCTAAGTTCTTGTATAGCTGTGTTCATTTGGCAGACTCCTCTTGACTTTGAGGGTGGTTCTGCGGTCAGAAGAACAGCAGGATTTTCTCTGGATGTGCAATTGTGCTACATTTGGCACTGCAGCAGTTTGTTGTTTCTCATTCACCACATCTCTCTCTACACAGAAGTGATTGAAGAGGAGGTGGTCTTGCAGCCAGACACTTATCATCATCTTTTCCTTATAGTTTTGGCCAAAACTCTTGATGAGGAGAGCATGTTGAGGGGAAGGGAAAATTCCCAGAGTGCTGGGGTGAGAAGAGCTCTAAGGATCAGAGGGCAAACATCCGTCTCTGGATTTGAATATTGAGAGACAGAGGAACAGATTCTCAGCTTGAGTAAAGCAGCATGACTGTTAATTTTCCTAGAGCTATTAAAGCTTAGCTGAGGATGTGTTTGAACAGCTTTGATTTTGTACTGGGAGTCTGTTACCACATTTGTCTTAAATGGACATTAAGGCATCTGAACTTTGAATTGCTCTAAGGAATGAAATGATGCTTCTAAATAAGTAAATATTTTGCTGGCACTGTTTCTCAGTAGCTTGTTTAAACATAGCAGATAACATTTCAAATTTAATGAATAGTGTATGTTGACCCTTTCTGAAAACTAAAGCAGAATCTTAAATTGCAGTAGATTTGTTCCTTGGTCTGGTTACCCAAAACCAGTGAACTGTTGACTGGACAAGGCCTTCCTGGAAATCAGATGAAAATATGGAAGTATCCCGTGCTTGTTAATTCATCAGAACTCTATGGCAAGTATATTCATTAATAGTTTTAACTATTTCAGTTAACTGTCTAATCAGTGTGATTTTGCACGTGCATACCTTATGTATTTATATAAAAAGAGTTAGAAGAGCAGTCACCTGCACGTTCTCCCTCTGCCAGCACACATACATTCATGTGCACAACCCTGATTCATGGGATTGTAAAGGTTGACTTATGATAGTAGTATAAGTGCTTCTCTAAAATTCCTTGATTTTAATGATGGAATTCCCTCCTGTAATTTCTAAGGCCATCCCAGGTGCAGGATGTGGATTTCCACTTCTCCTCAAGGCTTATTAGACCTGCACTGAGTATGCTGATGTCAGATTGTAGGCTGATGGCCTTCTGAATAACACAAACTAGATGTGACTTCTTGGGTTTTGCAGCTCATCATGCAAGGATACTGAACCAGCTTCCACATGATGTTTGAAATAAATCTCTATGTGTTATTTATCTCTGGGTTTTAATGAATGATTTTGACTGTGAAGCAGTGTGGTGTGAGGTTGTATCCTTTGTAACATGCTGATGGCTAGAGGAAAGTGGAGTTTTCTTGCAGGTCTGTATTGGTCTGTGCTGCTGTAGGGCTACACTACACATAAAAGTTGTTCCTTGCTATTAAGCCTTCTTGTTTCTGGTCCTTGCTGCCACTTCTGTCCATTAAGTTTTACTTGTTTTCATGTTAACTGGAGTTCCAATAGAAGAATCTGAAGTTAAAGGAAAATAACAAATTACTTGTGCACTAGCTGCATTTTCCCAACTATGGTAGTTTTTTCATGATCACTGACAGGATATGACCAAAGAAGCTTTGGATTTTTAAAAAGTTTACTTATCTGTAAGAGAAACTAATTTTCATGAACAGAAAGACCAGGTAATTGTTACACAAATGTATTACTGCTTATGAAGACTCTTAGTACTTACTATAAGCAATTGAAGGTTGGGAGAAATTGTGAATGTATCAAAATATTTTCAGAAAAAATACTGTGATGGATAATTGTTAGATGGTTTTAAGTCGGCCTCAGACAGCCTTAACCACATGAGTTTTACAGCTGAAGAAATGAACAGATAAATCATAACTGAATCTCATTGTTTATTCCTCTTGCAAAATGCTGAAGACATCAACAATGAAGTACTGTCAGCTACTGTTGGAAACTTTAATAATTGAAGTTGCCTATTACTGGGCATATTCAGAAAAAAATAACAGCTGAAGGATATTAACATTTTATAGCACTCAGTCAGTTTTTGAGATACTTCTGATAGAACTATTAGAATTGTTTAATAGAAAAAATTCATTTTGGATGTAAATGTCTTCCCCTTAAAAAAGTTGTTGTAGGTCAGAGAAAACATACAAGCAAACAAAATATGCAATTGCTTTGAAATATATTTGAGTCTGATCTTGAAACAGTGAACTAAACCCAGAAAACTCCACTCAAAAAACATGGAAATGAATGATTTCACCTTTTCCGATTTCTCGGTATCCCCCTTCACTTCTTTTTGGCTGAAATTATAAATCAAATTTCAGCCTGTGTTGTGGATAGTTTTTGGTGCTTCTAAAGACTAGACCTCCAGCTTTTCCTTCAGAGACCTTGCAGACACTGAACAGAGACTGTGTAAAGAGTTCACCAAGTTGTAAACTCATGGTCTTAAATATTGACAAAGATCATGTCTATTTCTATAACTTGAGAAGAAGCAAAACCTGAAAATCAATCTCTGCTGAAGTAATTTAGCAATGTTGTCAAAGTTTTAGTCACAAGGTTTAGGAGGGACATGTGTTACTCAGCACTAGGACAGCAGATATTTACTTTTAGTCACAGTGGCTCCTGAAGGCCATTGTCACAGCTTTGCAAAGTTTGTTGCAGACTTTCCATCTGCAGCGGTCCTGTGAATCTTCATCAGGTACCATTGTGATAAGTACCACACATTCAGAGGACTTTAGATTTCCTCACGTCTTTATCCTCATAAATTTATTTTGAGCTGTAGATGCGCACATCTTGTGTTCCAGGAGAACTCGCGTACAGGTGATCAGAGGACATAGATCACCTGCCTTCATTCAAGCTGGTCACCCAAGACTTCCTGCGTACCTTCACACTTCCTTTTAGGATGTGGTTCATCTGGTCTATTTTAGATGAGATATACTATGTCTCAGAAGTTTCCATTTTCCCCTTGGGTGGCTAGCTCAGATACATGATTGTCAGTAACTCACTGAGCCAGATAAGCTAATGACCAGTAACTAATTAGAGTAAAAAGACTTCTAATTTCTCATGCCCCTGTGTGCCTAAAATCCTGATGGGTTTGTTTAGCATTGACATTGGGCTAGATAATGCAGGAGGTCTATGGCCGGGCAATGAGGTAAATATGGGTCTCAACAGTCTCAGTTTAGCACCAGACTCTGTCTACCTTCAGTTCAAATTCAGTTGTGTTTACTGAGGGAGATTCTTGTATAGCCAGGTTAATGGTTTGTATGTTCTTTGTACTACTAGACTGGAGCAGCTCAGCTTCTTGCTTCTGAAGTTTACTACAACTGCAGACAAACTCAATATACAATTCCAATAAATTATTTAGTGGGATCACTGTTAAATGATCTCCTTAACAGTAATAGCTGAGCAGCTGGAGACACTATCTCGTTCTTGCTGGATAAGTTGCAAATAGTCTGCAAGGCATGTGCAGTCAGATGGGAAAGCTCAGCAGTGAGACACATTAACACAAATGAGACTGATGTTGTAAATGTGTGAAGAATCAAGAGTTTAGGTTCAATGTTCTTCTTTGACAGAAATGTCTTCTCAGTGTGATGCAGTCCTGGCTGTTAAAGCCTGGTCCCTAATAAGAAAATATTGCCTTCAACTCTTTCTTAATATGAGAATATTCTGTAGATAGTGCTAGCTTCCTGCATCCTATGCAGCATGTTTTGCTGCTACAGTAAAAGTGGCACAAGCCATAGTACTATGTGGGTAGGAGTGGTGAAAGTGAATGGTATAATCGGTGTAGAATTGTAATGTATCTTTCCTTTTTTTGTATGTATTTTATTTTACAGGTCACAAAGGGCGAGTCCTGCATATAGCCCTGAGCCCAGATCAGAACAGGCTCTTTTCTGTTGCGGCTGATGGGATAGCTTGTCTCTGGAAATGCCATGAGTCTGTGCAGAGCAAGCACAGCAGCAAGGCTTTTTCTAATGGTTTTTTGAGCTCATTCTTGTGACTTCTTTTCCTTGAAAGCAAGTGTTTAAATGTATTTAGCCCATTCAATAACTCAAAATATGTGTGTTCCTTCCAATGGAAACATGAGAAAAGATAGTATAATTTTTTCAAAAGAAACCAATTTTCCCCTTCAGTCCATCATGTGAAATGTTAGTAGCTTGTCTTACTTACCCTAGAGGAAAAATTATTCTAACTCTGAAGAATAATATCATATTTGTTTTCATTAAACTAGCAAGTACAGATGGAATCCATCCTGTGTCCAGTGCAAGCATAAAGTCTTAGGTCCTGCTTTTAGCTGTGATTCTTGCAAGTAATTTTACATTATCTTAGCATTCCCGTTGGGAACCACATGCCAATTCATGTAAATTGCCTGGAATCATTCAAAGGCTAGGATGAGCAGAGACCAGTCCAAGGGTCTGTATTGTTTTATGTATCACATAGATCATGGTACAGAATCTGTCTAAATATTTCTAGTCATCTAGGTTAAATATGTAATAACAACTGAATAGAAATGATTTATTGGGAATTCCTTATTGTTTTTGTGGTGGTAGTGATAACTAGCTTAATTAGAAAACCGTCTTTATTGGATTTTGAGTTGTTTCCTTTCCTTAAACCCACCTGCTATGTTTGATAATGATTGAAAATATAAATAATTGAATAATAATTCTATTTTATGCTAATTATGTAATCAACTGCTTAAAAAGCAGATGGGGATAGTCAAAGATGCATGCTGTTTGGATCAAACACAGTTAGTTCATTCATTCCTTAATGGTACCAGTGTAATTCTGAGTGTCAGCAAACTTGACAGCTGTCACAGTCTTATGAATTTTATTTAGTGTTCACAAGGGCCAAGCCTCTTGGACTTCAACAGATATTTGCCTGTGTAAGGCTTGTACACTGTCGACAACAAAGTAAGGATGTCAGGATTTGTCTTCGGATGCTGTTCAGATGCCACTCAGTAGTGCTACTCAAAATGTGTTCTATCCATAGACATTTATGGAGCTTTGCTTTCACTATTAGGAATGTCAAGATTCGAAAGGGGTGAGGTTTAACACTTGCATTTGTGTATTAAAAGCCCTGTGAGCTCAGAAACTCATATTGTTTCAGTTTCTTTTTTTTATTGCTGGAAATTTATTTAAAATAATTCCTGAAGCTGGAGATGAATGGGAGATAGGGAAGCAGAGCAGTGTCAACCCATGGAAAGTTACACTGTGATCAAACGTATGAAAAGAGTCAATGTTAACAAGGGCACAGGTGTCTGCAAATGAATGTGAAACTGTCATGGCCTTAGTTCTCATCATTTTTGAAACCTCATCTTCGGTTGTTCATAAATCACGTGGTTGCTAACTTTAGGTCTGGAAGGTTGAGACCACTTATCTTTTTTACCTTGTAAGATGTTAATTTACAATAAATCTGCTACTGAACTGCTGGTTTCTGATCTTATCTCGTGTGGTCTTCAAGACAGGTTAGAAAATGGGAACGTTGATTATCAGTTGAGAAATCACTACCAAGAAGCTGATGTCTAAGCATGGGAAATAACTGATACTGTGCCTGTCTTCTAATAGGAGCATGTTTGTTGCAGTAGATTTTATAAAACATTTAGAATCCAATTTAAAGATTAAAAATACTATTTTAAAGAATTTTATAATGTAAAAAATACTAAAAATATTTTTTTTCTTTTTTGAATGGGAAAAAAGGACTGGAATTATTCCCTTTACTCATGTATTTTTTGGATTCTCTGAGAAATTATCTTTTTCCTTTGGCAGTACCTAAGTGGCATTGGTTTGCCAAATATAGGAAGAGGTGTATAACACAGGATGGGGGCCTGTAGTAGGATAGGAGCTAGTCAATATTGAAGTCAAGCATATTTTGTTAGATGCTCAACTGTCAGAAGATACACTTCTTTCAGACTGAGAAATGCTAATTTCTTGGTTAATTATGCTTGTTCATTATGGATCGCTAAAGCTGTATTGCTTCAGAAGTATTTTAACTTAGTATCTAAAAGCAGAAGTCACTGATTTGAGTAGAACTAAGCAACAGCCCATGAATGTGAGAGAAACATGTATGTGTGGCTTGTAGCTCTATTTCATGACTGTGTCTGAGAAAGCCTTTAGTCACAATCTGGAACGTAAAAGTGATTAATCTGGAGTGAAATGAAACACATTGGAGTAACTTTTCTGGATGTGCTTCTTTTCTACATAGGTTCCTTTAATGACAGTTAATTTCACATGGCAAATATCTTTCTGTAATAGAAATTAGAAATAGAAATAGAAAAATAGAGTAGGCAGAATGATTCTGCTTCACTAATCCTTTGCAGGCAGTGTTGCTGAATGCTTGCACGTATAGATTGTGCAGTTGCTGAAAGTAGATCATTATTCTTGCAGAGCTGCCTCATTCTCCCAGTGCAGAGCTCTTAACATACGAAGACTTGGGCAAAATGTGGAATCCTGACTTCCTCCCTGTAGAATATAGCATATTTTTAGCTCATTACCTGTTACATGCCTGGTATATTGTTAAGGCCAGACTGAGACAAAAATCAGAACCCATTTCTAGGAGGTCAGCTTGTTCTGCACCTGAGGTCTGTACTCACTAAAGGCTGTCTCTCCAGAGGTGGCACAGAGGATTAAGTAAAATTTAAGTTGCCTAAACTCAGGCTTTCATCCCCCCAGTCCTGTCCAAGGTGGAGCACTGTACAACATATGGAATCCAAAATTTAGGGACAAAATTGATTTTTACAAGAGGAAAAACTTCATTGCCCATACTAGGCATGTGTCTTCTCAGGTAAACCAATATGACAAAGTGATCATCTGTCTGTCATGCAATGAAATGGATTAAAGAAACTCAGACTAGGGAATCCTTTTGTTTCTGCACATTAGTCTCTATTGGACAGACCCCTGTTTTTCACCCACTATGTGATCTGACTTAATGCTACTTACATAAATGTTGCATTAGTTTGTGTAATGCAGTTTATACCTGTTCATTTCACCCACTTGCCTCATATGACCCCAGTGAAAAGAAATTGTTACGTTCTAGATGTCACAATGACATTGAATGATCGTAACATTTTTCTTAGTTGGTACATGAATTTGAATAGGTTCCTCCCTAGTGGGGGAGCTGTATTGAGAGTGGGTTTTTGCTGGTTGATCAGCCTAGTCCCTGCCTAGTTACAAACTCAGTTCTATCTTGCTCTAGCTTCTGCCTTTTTCATTGTTTTCACTACTGGCAGTGGTGACAGAGGCTTAAGTGTTTTGCTTACCATGTTAAGTCCAGTTCCACTGGCTCATTTTGCACAATTCACTAAATAACACTCATTGAAAAGCATTTTTTTAAAGTATTTTGGCTATGTGCTAATTTTCAAGCTAGAGGAGGAAGGCTGCACATATTTTCTTGCACATTTCTTCATGCATTGTAAACTTTTCCTTGGTCAGAACCTCTCCTTCCTTCTCGCTAAGATTCTGCAACATTTGGGTTAGGACTACTATCTGAAGAATGGAGAAATGCTGAATGATAGGCTTTTAGCAGGATTTTAAACAAACAAGGTTGCTGTCTGTGACTTACAAGGAAGAGGAGGAAGCATATCAGAAAGGAAGCAGTAAAACAAACAAACAAAAAAAGCTATAGCAGGATGAAAGAAAGATAGTGAAAAAATGGGTAAAGAAGAAAGAAATGAAGTAAGACAAATGTATAGGAAGAGTGAAATAGCCCTGGCTGATCAATTGTTTTCAAGATCAGCTACAGATTTTTAACTAGATTGATGAGAATATTTTTGTTTTCTGAACATTTCTAGAATAAATACTTTCCTAAGCAAGGGTTTGGTAGTTTGCAAGAACAGAAGAAGTCTGGACTTGACTTAGTTATTTCCTGTGTGCTTAAAGATGGAATAAAAGTCACTGCTTTGGGTGTCAGTACCAGTTAGTTGGGCAAATTGGCACTCATGCAGTCTTACTTGCCTGGGATTCCTTCTGTGTGCTCCTGGTTTGCTTCTGTGTTTGTGTGCTTGTTCATGTGCTCAACCCGTGAGTCAGAACAAACATTTTAGGAATAAGGAGTGTGAAAAGTTCTGAATGTGTAACATTCAGAAAATATAAAAGAAGATGTTCAGCATCAAAACTTTCAGTAAAGATCCCTGTAGGCCTTCTCCTTCCTTCACCCTTCATTATTCCTCTGTGCCAAAACCTACTGTTTCTTCTCAGTAAGATCAAGTGAAGGCAGTTGTGTAAAAAGGTTTCAGTCTGTATTTTCCTATGTTTTGTTTATAAGTGATGTTTAATTGCTCATGATGAACCAAGCAATCATTTAAAAATTAAAACCAGTACAAGATTTTTCTGTCCTTTGAATGTCCTCTGCTTTCCCTTAGCTAATTCCTACTTCCAAGTAAAAAACCCTCAAAGCCACACAAAATAAAGCCAAGCCCCTTTTGAGGCATTCATGGCATTGAAAGTGCCCAAGACTATTAACCAGAGATGGGCAGGAAGCATTTTTCACAATAGGTCTGTTTACTGTTTGACAAGTAGTTGTCGAAGCACTTAAAAATTTCACTGCATATCTGAGACTGCAGTAGTGGCATCATAAAATTAAGATTGTTGTATGTTATAAACAGCACTTCATCATACTGATACTCCACCTGAGACATACTCTGTCATTTTTCTGAAGGATGGGTTTTCAGCTGTTTTTTTAACATATTATTGCTGATCTTAGTTCATTCTGCAAACATATTGCATATGAGGCATTCTACAGGCAGCTGACAGTGGCCTCACAGT